CAAAAAAATAAAAAGTTGGGTGTGCACATACTTTTGAAACACTGTATAATAACCGACAAATTAGAATGGGTTCGTCTGCTGATACCCGAACCGAACCGAATTTTCTCGGTCCCCATTCCCTCTATAAAAACGAATAGACGTTTTTGTCTCCTTCGCAGAATGAGGGCTCCTTCGCAGAATGTGCATGCATAAAACACTGAACAGAATCAAGCGAAGACAAGACACCGTGAGGAAAACGGGTAATTAAAACAAGTTTTCCCACAAAATAATTCAAAAATTCCCGATCAAGTTTTTCTAAAAAAAACTTATTAAAATACTGTTCCAGATGCCAATACGTTGAATCTAAATACTGGAGAAAATGCCAGTTGAAATGCACGCCACTGCATGAAATTCAAACGTCGACGTCGTCCTCGGAAGAGGAAGATGAGCAAGAAGAAGAAGAACAAGAAGAGGAAGACGATTCTTAAGAAATTCTGATACGGCAATTCATTCCCATTTGTTATTTTGTACATAGAAAATATTATTGAACAAAATTTGAAACGCGAATGAGCATTAGTGCTTTAATGGTATTTTTGGGTTCATATTACAGATCTATAAAGTGCGTGGTAAACTGTATTGGTAGATTTTCCAAAGATATTTCAGATGATAAGACACCTGGCTCCTTCAAAAAGTTCTGGACACAAAAATGGTAAATATTGTAGAAGACGTTATAGGTGAAGTCCACAATCAAATGATTATCTGATTTTTAGAGGCATGTTTATGATAAAAATTATTTCTAACATTTCTCCCTTTCATGGACCTGTGATCTCCAAAGGTAGCCCAAGCGATCCTACAGGAGCGTTAGCCGGCGTTTACATCGAAGGCGGACTAGTTCTTGGGCGTTTTAAAAGCTGTAGAGATTATACCATTCGCGTCGGGACCCACACATTGCACGCAGGCAACTTACTGCAGCCAGCTGCATACAATGACGCTCGCTTTCGAACAGCTCCTCAACATACCATTTCCATGCAGCTTCTTCCGTCACATTCTCTTCCATCCCCTAGTTTTACTTCTTTTTCTGCCCCTATGTACATTTAGTTAAATATCCCATTTTTCGCGCATTCTTCTTCTATTTTGAACTATTCTGGACTATCACTTCCATTAATCGTCAAAAACTCCAACATTATCCCGAACAGTACCTTTCATTGTAGAGATATTGGTTAGGTAAGGGCAAAATGCATAGCAATGGACGGGAGTTGAACTCGTGCCTATGGTTTCCTGGCGAGCGCTGAAAACATATTAGAAACAGAGACGTAGTAACCTACATCTTATATTGCTAGGTACATTACGGGTACCGGAACTTCTCCCCGAATTTCCACGGCAAGCGGCAGAGGTCACGCAGCGGCTTCCCTATCCTTGCACTGGGACAAACCTTTCCCTCGAAAGTGCGTGATAGGGTGCCGCGAACGCGGCGCCGTTTTCAGAGAGAAGATACCGGACCAGGCACACTACATTGGAGGCCTTTTTGTGGGGGGCATTCATTCATTCGGTTGTTGTCCAGAATTATGTGCTATCTATCTTCGTCGTTCATGGTCAAGCCAGAAAAAGTTTTCACGATTCTGAAAGTGGTCAAAAGCGTGGCGCAGTGTGGAGGACAGAGGACAAGCGGAAACTGATGTGAAGCCGATTAGGTGATGCGACTTGTTCAGCAGCCCTCTACTCTCTACTCTGGTTTTGAAGCACCTCTTGCCTTTCATATCATTAGAATTGTGTAGTTCTAAAATTCTTTGAAGTTACGAGCAAGTTTAGCTCCCCAATTCTATCAGGTTCGCAACCTTTGTGCCATTTTTGGAAAATAAGTAGGAGTGGGAAGGTAAGGACACGTCATCCCAAGCGTTAAGAAGAGCATTAAGAGAAGTGTTTTCATTAGGGAACTAAAAAACTGTTAACCTCTGTGGAGTGTTCACATCATTTATTCCAGCAGTTGTAAATGGATTCAGGCGTTTGACCAATATTTTGTTTTTTAGGGTTCATAATTGTCTCCGGACCTTCCGCCAAACCACTCGCAAAATTTCCCCATGAGAAAGGGAAAATAGTCGAGGCCAAGAACTCCGAAATATGACAAGAATAAATTTTACAGAAAGCACATCAAGCTGCTTTCTGCCAACGGAGAGTCCCCATTTCCGTTGAACGACCTACCAAGAAATTACCTCACCCTATGTACTTCCTAGAACTGCTATCCACCGCTTATGCCTTTTCCATCGTAGTTACTACAATATAAGAGAAGGATTCTCAATTCAATTAAATATTAGTCGATTAGCCTTTTTAATGCCTCCATTGTCCTGCCTCTCTGGAAAAAATAAACCAACGGACAATGGTCCTTCTAGCTCGGATTGCATTAGCAGAAGTTATGCCACTTGTTTACTACTTACTGATAGCTCAAATGTCGTTTCAAAATATCGAAAACTGATCTGTCTTCCTCATTACAACTAAGCGAAAGTTACCAGTCGGCTCGGTATCACAAATGGAACCACAGAATCATCACCCAACTACACAACTTCTCCTTCCCCACCCACGTGCTTATTCTCTCGTATTTCAGTACCAACATCTGTCTTCGTGTTCTTTCTCCCGCAGTTCCAACTCCCTCTTGATTTTTCTGTCGCTACTTGATTAATGTACTTGGAACCTGCGAAATTCCGCAATAGAAATGTGACGTGCTCCTCTATATAAGAGACTCTCGCTCATATGCCGTCACTTATACTCATGCTTGCTCGCTATAGCAACATTCGGTTATGTGTGGGTGGGGTTTGTATGTACGCAATATGTCCTTTGAAAAAAGAGGTTCGTTGTACTCTCGCTTCCGCAAGTTTGGAACTACTTTTGAGTCCCGCGTCCTGCAATCATTTGACCCCGGCCAATTTCTGGCTAGGGCTCGGAAGAAATGAATATTCAGACCGAGTAGCACCCGCAGGTTCGCATGACCTTCCAGCTGGAGAGGGGGAATTAAGCGATCTGAGCGAAACATTCGATGAAAAAGGCTGAGGGAAGGGAGAGGGAAGTTCACTGTGCTCTGCGTCTCCAACACATCACCAGTGTCCTCTTTCTGGAAACTGCCCATTCCAAGTTCGAACCCGCCGTAGGTCGGGGGAATCAGATGTCATCCACTTCCGATTGAAGACATGCATTCTGCAGTTGATACCAAGGTCCACAAAACTATGGGCGTCAAAATTAAAGGTTGTATGGGAAAAATTTGTCAATTGTACT